TTTTTTTTTTTTTTTTTTTTTTTTTTAAGGGAAAGAAAAACAAATAAAAAGAAATCGTCGAACGATGGTAGGGTTCCCCGTCGATGGCGAGCGCTTCCCTGGTAGCGGGTGGGCGACTAGCGTTTCCCCATCGCGGCTATACTCGACGTCCGATAAAAAATGTGCAGGTTGACCAATTGCACATAACTCAAGCTGCCTTTCCAGTTTCTCACGGACATATACGGACGCACACACGTGCGTATATCCATCCATCCACCCCCACCTCTCTTCCTCTCTTTCTTTCTCTCTCAGCCTTCGCTCTTTCGTTCACACTTTCTCCCTCTCCCTCTCCCTCTCCTCTTTCTCTCGATATATATATTTCTCTCTCTCTCTCTCTCTCTCTCTTTCTCTCTAGTACCAAACGAATCTACGCTCGAGGTCGCTCGCACGGACGAATCCGAGCCGCGTCCACACGTACGAAAGACGCAGACGCGGTCGCGTATATTCGAGTTCTTTTATTTGGCCCTGCAGGGGTAGGTAGGTAGGTAGGTAGGTAGGGTAGGCAGAGAGAGAGAGAGAGAGATAGAGAGAGAAAGAGAAAAAGAGAGAGAGAGAGTCGAGTCGGCTGGGTGGCGAGGGTGTATGCGCTGGGCTGGGGGCGATGACATCGATTTTTTACCCGTTGCTAATCTCAATGTTACCTGCACCTCCTCCTATATTCCTCCTCCGCCTGCAATTCGGCCATCTCTCCCGTCCAACCCCTCAAACCATCCCCCTCTTTCCACTTTCTCTCTCTCTTTCTCTCTCTCTGTATTTCTCTCTCTCTCTCTCTCTCTCTCTCTCTCTGTATCTCTCTACTCTTCCAACCGACCCCGGTGGACCATCCGTTCTGCGGGAAAACGTGCATGTGCATCGGGCACATTCGAGAAGGAATAACCATTTTTTCGTACTGGACAACACTTGTGCCGTTGGCTTGTCGCATGAATTTCCTCTTCATCCCTCTTTCCTCGCCACCTCATCCCCAATCCAACCCAACCTCACCCCCCACCTCACCATTTTCCTCTATCCATCTATCCATCTCTCTTTCTCTCTCTCTCTCTCTCTCTCTCTCTCTCTCTCTTCGTCTATCTCCGTCTATGTCTCCCTCTATTTCTCTTTCTTTCTCCATTCTCTATCGAGTCTCTCTTCTACCGTCGGCGACCAGCCGATTTTTTCGTCCAACTTTTTTCAACCCCCGCAGGCATCGCCACGCGACGCGACGCGACGCGACGCTACACTACGTACGGTACGGTACGGTACACGGAATCGAACTAACATGGACGCGACAGTTTTCCATCTTTCTGTCTCTTTCTTCCGTTTCTTCGTATCCTTTTTCCTCCCCTTTCACCGCCCCCTCCCCTGCTCCCACCCTCTATCCTCTTACTCCGCCCGTCTGCCATTCGTCCATCCGTCCGTCCTTCCCTCCAGTCTCGGCCGACATTTTTTTGTCACTTCGCGCTCGAAATCTACGCGCTTTCTTTCGTCTATTTTCCCTTCGAACCACCGAACTCCCCTTCACTCTCCTACAACCCCCTCGATCCATTCGTCGTCGAACGTCTATACGATATATATATATATATATATATATATATATATATATATAACTGTGTGTATATACTCTTCCCTCGTCTCCACCCTCTCGCCCTTTTTCTATCTGCTTTTTTTCTCTCTTTCTACTTCCTGTTTTTTCTTTTTTCTCTCCTTTTTTTTCTTTTTTTTTTTTTCTTCTTTTTTTCTTTTCTTTTAGAGAAAATCGAACTAAACGTGAGAAAGAACGCAAACGAGGGAGAAAGTCCGAGCTAACTTTCCACCCTCGGTAATATTCGTAATTATGTTATAATCAGAGCAAGGGATAGCAGAAAGAGAGAGAGAGAGAGGGAAAGAGAGAGAGAAAGAGAGAGAGAGAGAAAGGGATGATGAGAGAGAAAGAGGGTGAAGAAGTTTGAATGGCATACTTCGGATAACTTACAAGGGGAGATCACGACATATGTGTATGATTCTGGGATTTGGAAATAAGGTCCATAATACATGATAAGGTATCCTGATACATCTACTCTATGATATTTTCTGATCGTATTAAACCATTCTTTCGAACGATCTGTTTAAATATTTGCAAACAATGTCCTTCATGTTTTTTGTCGTTGATCTTTTCATTTGTTTCTTTCTTTTTCTTTTTTTTTTTTTTTTTATTTTTCTTTTCGCTTTTTTTTTCTTTTTGTTTTTTTTTTTTTTTTTTTTTTTTTTAACTCAAACCAAAAGATATCACAATGGTTTCTCAGCAAGATCGTGAAAAAACAATATTTTTACTTCCGTCGATCGATGCCGAAGTTATTAAAAAAATTCGTCTATATTTTTTCGATGGTAGAAAAATGTTCGAATGCAAGTAAAAGTTTGAAAAAGAAAAAAAAAAGAAAAGAAAAGAAAAGAAAAAGAAAACTGTCTTGCCACTATGGTCAGAGGAATAGTCGAAAATATGCTTTTTAACTCGTCATTTTTCAAAATAATTTCAATTTTACTTCGTCATTCTGAATTCCTCTATATTATTGTCCTCCCTCTCTCTTTCTCTCTCTCTCTGTCCCATTCTCTCTTTGATAGGTAATCAATTTCAAATGACAAGTTTTCGATCAAAATTATTTTTCTTTTCTTTTTTCTCTCTTTTTTTATTCTGTGATAGAAAAGGGAGGAAGAAGGAGGGAGAACGAAAAAGTGATCCAAATAATACGTGGATATTGATTTCAAAAAATAATTGATACATATTATTAATATCATATAACAGTCATCAATATGTTTATACGTTTACTCGAAACCGTATAATAGATAAATAAATAAATAAACAAACAAAAAATAAAATTAAAGAAATACAATGAAAAGTCAGGATACTCGATGAGATGTTACGCGGACTAAAATTTTGTTAACACCGGAATGACGACGACGACGATGGTCTTAACGAGGCCACTTTTAGATGACCCAGAAAGTTAAGAGCCGTGGGAAATGTATAAAAGAAAGAAAAAAAAAAAAAGAATCGATAAGCAGTTGCCCGAGAGAATTCGTTGTTTTCGTCTGATACGGGGAGTTTATGAGACGCAACGTTTCGTGATTCCTTTTCCATTTTTTTTTTTGTGTGTTTTCTCCAACGTCAGATATACTAGGATGGAACATAAATGAAAAGAGAAAAATAATTGTAAAAAAAATCTCTGTACGTTCCCTATTTCAAATCGCTAATCCTATTCTCTAATACTTATTCCAACGTTATTCCACATCGCTATCATTTTCACTCGTCATTTATTTTGATCTATTTCAAATAACACGTTTCTTCATTTCTTTTTCCTCAACTTGAAGTTAACCACTTGCGGTGGAACGACGTGCCACGCACGTCTAGATACTTCTATTACCGGAATGTCAGTGACGTGTTACACACGTCATCGATTGTTGCAGAAAGAAAAATGACGTGCGTGGCAACCGTGAATTTCTTTGCACCGCAAGTGGTTAAGTATCAAGTATATAGGTATTTACATAGCTTCATCCAATGGATTCTATTAAGTATACATTTAGTTTATTTATTTCGTTTGTCAACAGTGATGCATATTTATGTATATGTGATAGCCTACAGTCGCCTCGGGCCCTCCCGAAATAAGGGTCCACCATACGACATAAATTAAATTTATATTATATAATCAATTTAATTTAATTTGATTTAATTTAATTTAATTTTAATTTTAATTTGATATTTGCCGGCCGGGCAATACCATACCATAATCTTTATTCGTATATTTTTGTGATTATATTAATCGAATTTAGGCCAATGTATGTATTTTTCTCACTTCGTCGTTTGTTTGAACAATTAAAGCGAAAGGATCTATATATGATTGATTTATATTAATTTATACAGACCGAATTGAAAATTTCTAAAATGGATCAAAAGTTCTTAATGCTGGTACTTTTACGATCTGGAAAAAAAAGCAAAAGTAAAAGAAATGGAAAAAAAAGAATTCGTCGAAAAAAGTCTCATGAAAGAGTAAACGATTTTTAAATGTCACCTACATTTTGATCCATCCTGTACTTTTAATACTACCAAAAATAATAAATGTTCGCGATAGATTTTGTATAGATATTTTTTTCAAATTCTATAGTGCTCTCTCTCTTTCTCTCTTTCTTTTTTTTTTACGCATAATGAAAATTAAATTTGGTCGGTAAATTTGAAGTTTAATATATTTAAAAAAAAAAAAAAAAAAAAAAAATGAATATAATTCTTGAAATAAAGTGAAAATCAAATGCACACGGTTCGAAAATTAATCTGATTCATATCAATCCTTCGGATATTCACGAATTAGCCATGATCGACACTCGTATCTTGAAGGATAATTTCAAAAGAATAAGAAGAAATGAGAAAATGTTTCGTTTATAGTCACGGAACGTGCATTATCGCGACAAAATCGATTCTAATTCGATTCAAAAAAAAAAAAAAAAAAAAAAAAAAAAAAATCAACTCAAAATCGAACACTAACACTAAGAAAAGACATTGATCTTTCCCTTGTTCTCAAGATTACTATTAAACAGATTACAGATTATATCGAATGAAATGATAAAGCGATCGTAGGTTATGATATTTCTTAATATCGTATGTGTTCAATTATAAAAAGAAAAAAAGAGAGAGAAAGAGAGAGAGAGAAAAAAAAATTAAGAGATAAATTCGTGGACGAGTATGTTTTAAAATAAATAAATAAATAAAAAAAAAGAAAAAAAAAAGGAACAATCATTTCTAAGAATAACTGTTATCGATTATTGTAACTCGTTAAGAATCGTATGAGCTCAGTTTATATTTAAAATAATAATAATAATAATAATAATAATAATAATAATATAAATAAAAATACTAAAGAAAAATAAGAAAATGATTTAAAATCTATTTATTCTTGTTGATACGTTTATTCATATTTTGAAATTATCGTATCATTAATCGACATTTAATATAACAATTACAGACGGAGATTGCTAAGAGGCTGAACGCGATAATCGTACAATTATTACCCTTTTTGGCGCAAGAGGTGAGTCTTTGACTTTCTGTTTGGCACAAGTGTTTATAAACATACAATCGAGTGCGACCACGACGCGATAATGATAGCATGGCTTACAGCATCAGCAGCAGGTGGCGAACGCTGTGGAGAGAGCGAAACAAGTTACCATGTCCGAGCTGAACGCGATCATTGGGGTAAGTATTTGATTTGTATTTTTTTTTCTCTCTCTCTATCTCTCTCTTTCTCTCTCTCTCTTTCTCACATTATTAATATTATTATTATTATTATTATTATTATTATTATTATTATTATTATTATTATTATTATTATTATTATTATTATTATTATTATTATTATTATTATTATTATATTACTATTATTATCATCGTCATTATTATTTTTATCATCTTCATCATCACTATCATTATTATCATCATCATCATCATCATCATCATCATCATTGATTGTATAGTATGATTATGTTTTTAACAGGCCCAAGGAGGGCCCTTTTCTTTTTCTTTACTTTTCAAATTTTCTCACCCCCAGCTGACGTTTCCTATTCACATTTTTCAAAAATCCACGAGTTTATATATTTCAACCACGGACCATGGACTTAATTTAAGCCATTCAAACATCTACCCCTTAATCCTTAAAAATCTTCTTAAGAAATTATTATATGCAAACTCACATCAACGTAATAAAGCACACATTTCAATATATTTAATAGTTTTTTTTATTTTTATTTTTTTTTTTTTATTTACTGCATGTAACATTCTTGTTTTATTTCATTTTTTTTTTTTCCTTTTTTTTTTTTCTTTTTTCTCAATAATAGTATAGGTCAGTCAGGAATTTTATTCTTTCTTTTGTCTTAGCAACAACAACAACAAGGACTCCAGCAGTTGTTGGTAAGTTAATAAGATCATTCTTATCGATTGATATTTAATAAATTTAGATAGAACTTGGATAAATATAATTATATTATAAATAATTTTTTTTTTCTTTTATTTTTTTCTTCTTTTTTTGTTTCTTTTTCTTTTTTCCAGAAGAGATTATAATTTAACTCTCTCTTATCACTTCAGTGTTGTAAACTTTAACTTCCTGAAGGATAACGCTGCATCGTTTTTATTAAAATAGATGTTTATTCGTAATAGGGGAAAAAAAAAAGACAAATTATTTTATATAAATTTTTGCGTTAAAAAAAAAAAAAAAATACTAAAAAATTACGATCGTCAGAATAACTATCGTACTAATTGGAATAATTAGAATTAATATTTCAATAACATATACGGATTTATCTTTACGGATCTTTGGTAATAATATTTTCAAACAAAACGACGAATCAGAAGATAATTATTTGATTTTTGATTAAAAAAAAAAAAATTATATATATATATATATATATATATATATATAAAATAATCTCTAATTCTACTTGCGATTACTTAAGATAATAATTAAAATTTTTAATTATAAATAAATTATAAATAAATAACGTTCATTTATTAAATTTGTTTGAGTTTGATCTTAATGGGGGCGGTTTTTTTTCCTTTTTTTTTTGCGCTCTCTCTCTCTCTCTCTCTCTCTCAATTTCTTTTGTGTTTATAAAACGTAAAACTCTTGTTATGAACTTGTAGCAACAAATTCATGCGCAACAACTGCCTCATGGTGCGGTAGTTGGTGGACTTCCACCTGGTGGGTTGTTGGGTTTCGCGGGTGCGGCAGCCGCAGCGGCTGCCGCAGGAGTGCCTCCTCATCTGGCCCCACCGGCCCATCCAGCGGCTGCGGCCGCAGCGGTTCAGGCACAGGCTCAGGCCCTTCTTAAGCCTGCGGATTTGCAGCAACATCGTGCCGCTGCGGAAACGCCCGAAGATCGTAAACCGATTGCACTAACCGATGAGAGACTTCGACAATCGGTTTCGCCTCCTGAAAAGTTTCGTACTCGCACGCCTGACCTTGAAAGTGATCCCAAAAGGCGGAAGGAAGAAAAGCTCGGTCACGTGAGTATTAAAAAAAAAAAAAAAAAAAAAAAAAAAAAAAAAAAAAAAAAAAAGAAAGAAAGAAAGAAAGAAAGAAAGAAAGAAAAGAGGAAAGAAGAGAAAAAAAGAAAGAAAGCAAATACTTTATTCAAATCATTTTATATTATTTATATGATAATATATCTTAATCCATGGGATATATTTATCATTTATTTTAATCTAATCATTTATTCTCATATCTACGTCTGATTTCTTTTTTCTCTCTCTCTCTCTCTCTCTCTTTTTTACGCTTTCGATATAATATTAAATGTTACAAAGAATATATTCTTTTATATACCTAGCACATAATACATACTAGACATTTTTATTTATAAACTTATTTTAATCCAATATTGTTTTCTAACGAATTGGGTTAATTAAATGAACTGTCAGAGTTAAAGATGACTCAAGAGTTTTATAAAAAAGAAGAAAAAAAAAAGAAAAAAAAAGAAAAAAGTAAAAAGAGTTATTTTTGTTAAAAGGGATAATATTCATACGTAATATATTTTTATTTATTTATTTATTTATTTATTTATTAATTTTTTTTTCTCTGTTTTTTACTCGTTATCACTTACTCCTTTTTCTATCGTCTTAACATCTTATCGATGTGACATTGTATTGCTAATCGTGTTTTTTTTTTCTCTTTTTTATGTCGAAGATTTTAATGATTTATCTTTGAACGCGATTAACACGATTAATACCATTGAGATAAAAAATTATCGTTGTTAAATCTTACACATTGCATACATATATTCATATAAATAACAATCGAAATGAGATATTCATATAATCACATTATTCGCATATACTCACGTACGTGCATATGTATATCGTGTAAGTAATAATTCAAACGAAAACAGAGTTTTATATTATCCTTTCTTTATAAAACATTAAAAAATTATTCAATTAATCCGTCGAACAACCGATTTTTTTTTTATTAGTAAATTATATCAACGAATATATGTATCTTGTAATATACATGCATACATACATACATACATACATACATACATACATACATATATATATATATATATTTGAAAAATCGTGCAATATTTCATTAAAAAAAAAAAAAAAAAAAAAAGTTATTCGCTCTACCAATGATATCGAGTGATACCAGTTTAAATACACCATGAATGGTTGCGTGTTTAATCATATTTGTAATACATTAGGTAAATCTTAATCGTTTCGAATTCACATTGTACACCACTTCCATAATCTTCAACGTAACATTTGATTTAATTCCAAAACCCATGGTCTTTTACGAGACATTTTCTCTTCAATCTTTGCTTGTTTAATCGTATATAAATATATAGTAATCTAATTCTCATTGAATATTATAACTTATGATTATTTGAATGGCAATGAGTATATTTACAAATATTTTAAACGAAATAGAAATAATTGAATGATCGCGACCGAAAGAATCGAGAGAATGATTGAAGGAATGAAAATATTATCGAATAAAATATTCAAAATTGTGGAAGAATTAATAAACATTGTTACGCATATACAGACATACGCACATATTAAATTTTTGAGAAAGTTTTATCGAATAAAAATTTCACTTTAAAGATCGTATATACTTATAAAGGATCGAAACCTCTGAGTAAATATTATTTAGATATCGATACCTTTCACCTTTTGATACTTATGTATTCATATGTGCTTATGATATTATGATACTTTGAGACTAAGTAATAGATATAATTTGTTCAATATCATAAGTATATCTGTTAAAGTAATACCAATCGTGTTATTTTTATTTATTCGTTTTGTCGCATTCATTTTAATTCAAAGGAATTACTTATCTAAGTTATTAATAAACATTTTTTTTTTTTTTTTTTTTTTTTTTTTTTTTTTTTTTTTTTTTTTTTTTTTTTTTTTTTTTTTTTAATCCAACAATGCAATCTACATAAAGAAAAGAATGAACGCGAGTAAATAATTAGAATAGTTTTATTCCTAAAATTGATAATAATGATGATGATCATGATGATTATTATTATTATTATTATTATTATTATTATTATTATTATTATTATTATTATTATTATTATTATTATTATTATTATTATTATTATTATTATTATTATTATTATGATAATCTAAGAGATTTGAATTGATTGATAAATCGAAATATTCGAAACGATAATCATAGAAATATGATATAATTTAAACGTATACATATATTAAATATTTTACGTATAATAATTTTTTTTTTCTTTTTATTTTTTTCTTTTTTTTTTTTTTTCTTTTTCTAAATAATAACTCAATCATCCTCAATATTTCAAATATGAAGTAAACTATAGTTCGATCGATTTCACATAAGGAAAACATTTTCGTATTTGATTTTTATTTTTATTTTATTTTATTTATTTTTCTTCAAACCCCTCGAAAGTCGTAGTACACCCTCCTCTACCTCTTCCTCCTCCTCCTCCTCCTCCTTCTAACCCCCTTCCCCCTCATCTGCCCCACCATACTCCTTTCTTTCTCTCGAAGCAAAGGATACGTCAACGTAGGTTCCATTTGACTTTGCAGTCAAAGCGATGTAAATCAACGCCCTTTACGATCGTACTACCGGTTTAACATCGTCAAAGTAGAATAGACTTTAAAAAATGTCGCTGTTTTGTTCCGTCAAAGCAAACTCTCTCTCTCTCTCTCTCTCTCTCTCTCTCTCTCTCTCTCTTTCTCGCTCGCTCTCTCTCTCTTTCTTTCTTTATCTCGACTCCAGTACGACTCGTTTCGACTTTTCTCGTAAATCATAATTCAAAGACAACGGTCGTCACGAAACGTACTAAAGACGCTTCAAAAAGCTCGTAATGCGTACTTTTCGCTCAAAGTACGTAATCGAACGATGCGTGAAAGAAGTTAAAATAAAGGAAACGAAAGACAGAGAGAGAGAGAGAGAAAGAGAGAGGGAGGAAGGGGGAGGGAGATATGGGGGAGGAAGGTACGTATGTAGAGGGATAGAGGAGTAAATATTGTCGCAATGGCAATAAAATCGTTCTAGCTAACGTAGTAGTACGTCCTAAAGAGATTATTCCCTTAAAGGGATATCACGTAATAATGAACTATTGACTTTCTAGTTGTCGTTGAAAAGAAAATACATTTTATATGGGGTAAAATAGAATTAAAAGATTACATAGTTACATATATATACAGATGCGTATATACGTGTGTTCCTAAATGTTTTTATCGTGAAAAAAGAAAAATGCGATTTAAGTTATGAATATATACTACTTTGTTATTGTTATTGTTTTTATTTTTGTTTTTGTTATTGTTGTTGTTTCAATTAAAGCGCGATCAAATGACTCCGTTTCGTATCTATTTATTATTAAGAATAAATGTGCACTGAAATGAAGTATAATTTTTTATAGAATACGTAAATACGTAGAGAATGTAGATATTTATTGGGGGAACAAAAAAAAAAAAAAAAGAAAAAAAAATTGATTAATCCTGTGCAACTTCAATTCTTTTTATTTTTATTTATCTATTTATTTATTTTTTTCTTTTACTTTCATCCTTTTCTATCTATGGTATTATTTATACTTAGTATTATATCAACTTATAGACTTGAATTAACAATAATAAATAAAAAACAAATGAATTAACCTTTAAATACAGAGATGTATTAATATATTACTTCAAAATTATCTACATGGTTTTAATATATATTTCTTGAAATATATATATATATGGAATATATATATACAGTAGAGTCTTGTATGATAACACGGGTTCATATAATACTGTCCGAAAATTGTGAATTATATTCGTGTAATACTATAAAATAAAAAAGGAAAGAAAAAAAAAAAAGGAAAGAAAGTACAGGCTCGTATAACATGCTATACAAGTGTCTCATCTAACTTGATCAGCACAATCCTCTATAAACAAATTTTTTTTACATGCTTACAAGAAAGAAAAAAAAAAGATATAAATAATATCAACCAACAATAATTATATTATACTAAGGTAGTAACTTATACTTAAAAACTAAAAAAAAAATACTTCAGATAGGTAGTAACAATAATAACGATTAATTTTTCCAATAAGAAAATGAAATTCAAATTTCAGAAATATAAATACATATATACATACATACATACATACATACATACATACATATATATATATATATATATATATATATATATATATGTATATAAGCTTGTGACATTGAATTTACATGCATGACTGTATAAAGAGATAAATATCTCCTCCGTGTTAGCGATGATACATGAATACACGTCTGACAAAGTTGCATCGTTCGAAAGGGAGAAAATACAATGATATGGAAATTGTATGAGCTATGTGCAACTCATAATATAGATTCATATAACACGAATGGTATTTCCTTTACTATACATAGGAGTCTACTGTATGTAATAGTAAAACAATAAAAGAGCGAGAGAGAAAGAGAGAGAGAGAGAGAGAGAGAGAGAGAGAGAGAGAGAGAAATATAGAGATAAATGAAATTTTCTCACAAAATTGGGTTAACCAGTGCCGTATCTTTGCAAGAGAAGAAGAGATGCCTCGATGCAAGGAAACTCAACGACGAGTCCTTGTGCGTTATACCTGGAGGCATGTTTCTTCTTGCCATGTTCCTATGAAATATCCATAAAAACGGTCTCCTTTGTCAGGATCATGAGGACAAAGTGCGCGAGAGCTTGGCTCTAAGAAAAAGAAAGAAAGAGAAAGAAGAAGGAAAGAAAGAAAGAAAGAAAGAAAGCGACGGTGATATCAGGGTGGTTCGCAGTAATGTTAGTTGTGGTGGTGATAGTGGTAGTAGTGGTGATTATGGTGGTAGTGGTGGTGGTGCTTCTGTTGCTGGCGGGGGTCGCTTATAATTAAAAACCGTGAAAACAGGCGAGCCACGAGCCTCTCGCTATATTTAAATTGGATTATTTTTCTCAGCTGCTCGTTTCCCTCTTTTGCGGGCCCTTTTCTCCTTTTCCTTTTCTCTCTCTCTCTCTCTCTCCCTC